CCAATCCTCAAACCTCAACACTTATTTTATACAGAACCGGTGAATGGACAAATCCCTTCCTCTTCCAAGGATGATTCAGCCCCGTCAAAGTCTTCAATTGAGATTCATACCAACAGAGATAGCTACGCTGACATCTTAAGGGGGATTCCGTCAATCAGAGATGGAAACAAAAATCCCTGCCAATCAATAGCAATCTCTAAAACTCAAAAGTTCCGAATTGAAGGTAAGACTTTTCTCTTTACGCCTTCAAAATTCAATAAGAAGATATGTATTACAGAAATTCAGAGGAGCAGGAAGCTGAATATATGGCTAGGTATAGACCTTTGTCCTTGGCTACTGGATAATCTCCAATCTGTCACTCAAGAGGGATACATACGATCCTCTCAACAGAGGGAGAACAAGCGATTGCTTTCAGTCTCGTTCCAAGCCTCTAGAATCGGTAACCACTTTAGACTTAGTGAATTCCACCGGGATGGAAAGGTTTGGATCAATATTCCAGAAGGAAACCAAGGTTTGGGCGTAACCTCCTTTACCTCCTACTTTAAGGTGGCTTTTGACTCTCTTAGATTATCTCTTCCCCCACCTCCTCCTTTTTTGGACAAAGCAGTTGTGTGTTTTAACTCCTCCCCCACCTCGTCAGTGCATTTTGAGCTCTCAATCTCTTCTTACCTTCTCAGTTTAGATATCCCAGGTGATCATAGTCACACACCTATTGACATTCCTCCTAAGACTCATTTTTCCCCACTCAAGGAACCACAACAACCAGTTTCTGCAACCCCAATTCCCCCTTTTCATATCCCCCATAGCCCTCTCTCTCCAGCAGCTCAACCTTTTCTTCCAGGTGCAAAGGATTGCTCACAACCGAAGGAGGTCCAACCCCACTTCTTGGGGTGCTCCAATTCTGATAATGATGATTTGGATAGATCACAGTGGAACGTGAGCTACAACTCAGGATCAGAGAAGCAGACAAAGCTTTCTTTTAAGCCTTTTCTAGAAGAATCAGAAGAAGAGTGGGTTACAGATAGAGGGTCGGAAGATGAACCAGACTGGCATGCTAGGAAAGAAACGAGTAAAAGGAGAAATCAGAGGAAGTTTGAGCAGCTATGCTTACAGTTTAAAGACTCCCCCACGCCAAGGAGGAGCAAGAGGTTAATAGACCTGAAAACTAGATTAATTCAGGAGAAAGGTTTGCTTTAAAGTCCCTAATTTCGTCTCTATTTTGCTTATTCAATTAACTTTATGAAGGCTGGTTTCAAGGTCTGCTTTTGTGCCAAGGCTCTTTCTGTTTTAGCTCTCCATCAATTAATTTTTAATAGTTTGGAATAGCCAAGAGTTTCTCTGTTACCTTTCATCAATCTTTCCATCTTGGACTACTTCCCAAAAGATACAGAAAGGGAAACAAGACATTTTGGAGAATAGCTGTTGATTTACAAGCAGCTTGTCTTGGTGAATAGCTGTTGATTTACAAGCAGCTTGTCTTGATACGTGTTGGTTTGTTGCAGATGTATTTATTACATCACATGCTGTTTGAGGGCCATTATACAGCAATCAACATGCTGCAATAGACCCCCCCCCCCCCTTTTTTGGCCTACTTTGTTTTGGCGCCTTTCATTTGCATTTTAGTATTCTTGTTATGTTTAAACTTGTTTCTATCGTTTTGGGCTTTGGGCAGTACACATTGTAACACCCTAATCCGTCCAGGTTTACAACCCCTTCCGAACTAAAGTATTAACTTGGTAATCGTATAATTTAAAGCATTTCAAATAACTTTATTCATCAGAAATGAAATTCCAAACATAATTGTAGTAAATACGGAGTGTTTAATGCGGAAGCGATTTTTAAACATGATTCATAATAACATAATCATTTATTTTCTCAATAAATCCACCACGATTGTCTCGCCCCTTCCGCTGCCAAGAACATGTCATTCACTCATTCTGTCTACCTGCGTGTAGCAAATAAAACATACTACACGCTCAGCGATGAAGCTGAGTAAGCATATCTAAAGTGTCGAACATCCAAATAAATCAAATCTCAATTCATAATCAACCATTTGATATCATGCACACAATATATGATTCAAACATTCATGATATTCTCAATATTTTATTCCAAGTCATTTGATATTCAATATCTTAACCATGCTCTTAAATTATTCTTAATCTAAGGCCAAATCATTTTATAACAAGCTCTTAGCTATTCCTAGTCTAAGGCAACATTTCTAACCAGGCCCTTAAACTATAAATAGTTTAATGCAGAACACAAGAATCGATAATCCACCCTATGAGTCGTGTGGATTACGTACCAACCGAACAATGATTTGTCGGGTGGGTGATATCCGTTCTGGATCCCGTACGTACGTTTTAACCCCGAAATATGAATTGGTCAAGGAGGTATATCTTAGAGTTCTTCTAGATATCCTTAATAAATCAACATCATTATACAAGTG